GTCCAATGTGGAGAAGAGGTTGTAGCAACTTTGGCAAGCTCCCGGGTAGGGAGCAACACACAATTCCCCAAGTTCAATGTGCTACTGTATATCACGGTCCACATGACAGATTGGACGCAATGCTTCTCAAAACTCCGTCAGTCCTGTATGCGTATGGTGGAGTTGTGAGAAGCATTAAATCCAATCTGGTGTGTGTGCCATGTCCTGCAACCAAGTCGCAGTGAAATTACCAGCAAATATACATCCGAGGAGAACGAAATGTGGCCTGTACCTTACAACAACAGCAACAGCAGCAACAGCAATAGCAACAGCAACAGCAACAGCAACAGCAGCAGCAGCAACAACAGCAACAGCAACAACAACAGCAACAGCAGCAACAGCAACAGCAGCAGCAGCAACAACAGTGACAGCAGCAGCAGCAGCAGCAACAGTGGCAGCAGCAACAGTGGCAGCAACAACAGTGACAGCAGCAGCAGCAACAGTGGCAGCAGCAGCAAGAACAAGAACATCTAAGTTTGCGAAGTTTCGAGCTTTGTTTCTGTGCTCGTTCCACAACTCAAATTTTCTTTCGAACTTTCACATTGCTAAATGTCCCTAATAACTTTCACATTGCTAAATGTCCCTAATAACTTTATAAATTGCCCATGGAACACGCATGTGACTGTATAGGAAGAGACACTGACCTGCTTGATCTCTGGCCATGCTGGCATCGGTGTGCTGGTTGCCAGTGAAATCGCGCACCAGCTTCATGTGCATGCGTGAGAAATTCTCAGCACGGTCCAGCTTCCAGAAGACATTCTCCGACATACTGGATGGCATGGCAGGGAACAAAAAAATAAAAATTAGCAAGGGCGAGGCATCCGACAGCTTCAGACCTCAAAGAGAAATTCTGAGCACACATGCTCTTTCCGTTGGCACTGCAAATTCACAACTCACTATCCGTGCAACTCATATCAGATATAAAAGTGATAGTGAGTTGTGAATTTGTCGTGCTGCGGGGATTTAACCATGATTTTTCATCTCCCATCCTGGTGATCACACTCTTCTCTTGAATCGCAGGACTGCGGATAAAACAAGGCCACTCACATGATGAGTGGCAATACACATACAAACACACATACACACACACATGCCCGCCCGCCACACGCACACACACACACACACACATACACACACACACACACACACACACACACACACACACACACACACACACACACACACACACACACACACACACACACACACAGCACTCCCAGGCCAGCTTACCCAGTGGACCAGGGATCACGCTCTCCAGTAAAGAGCCTCTTAGTGGCTTGCCACTGATGTAGTGTGGATAAGAGTTGATTGACCTGCTTCTCTTCGGTCACACGATGACGTTCACGTTCAGACAAACGACACGAGTAGAACGGATCCTGGCAGGCTTTCTGCAACGCACATGCATGCATGTACACCAATACACATACGCACGCGCGCGCACACATGCACACACACACACACACACACACACACACACACACACACACACACACACATACACACACACACACACACACATACACACACACACATACACACACACACACACACACACACACACACACACACACACACACACACATAGCACACACACACACACACACACACACACACACACATACACACACACACACATAGCACAGCAAAATCAACTACTTCAGTATCCCAATGCTACATGCTATCTCCGAGACGTGGGCAGAATGCTCTAATGCTATTGCTAACACCTTGCTATGCCAAGCTACAGTAAAACCTGTCAAGGCGAGCACTCGGATAAGGTGACCACCTGTCTTGGAAGGCCACTGCAACCACGACCAAGGGATGCTATTTCCAGTCAAATGGCATTGGATAAGAAGACCACCCTGGTTACAGAGACCACATTTTGAAAGTCCCTTGAGCGGTCGTCTTAGACAGATTTCCCTGTAGTTCATCTCTGTATTCTCTTATCACCTCTCTCCATGGCCACACAAACTGCACTTGTTCCTCTCCTTGCATAATCATCTAGATGACTTACATTGACCAGATCGCTGCTCTCAGCTTGCATCTGCTGCATGAGCAGTTCGCTACGCTGCCATTGCTTGCAGCAGTTCATCCAGAACTCTCCGGACTTCATCGCACCGCTCTTGAACGGCACGCGCAAGTACGCTTGAGAGATGGTGCTCAACTGTGTGACAGCAACACAGACAACACCACCACAGACAACACCACCACAGACAACACCACCACCGACAACACCACCACAGACAACACCACCACAGACAAGACCACCACAGACAAGACCACCACAGACAACACCACCACAGACAACACCACCACAGACAACACCACCACAGACAACACCACCACAGACAACACCACCACAGACAACACCACCACAGACAACACCACCACAGACAACACCACCACAGACAACACCACCACAGACAACACCACCACAGACAACACCACCACAGACAACACCACCACAGACAACACACACAATAACACAGACAACACCGCCACCGACAACACCACCACACACAACACAACAACACACAACACCGAGCAGAGAGAGAGAGAGAGACGGTAAGTAACAAAGGTCAGACGTGTTTGCACGTTCAAGCAAAGAAGGCAGTCCACACAACCCCCAAGAGTGTGCAACTCCAGTATGGGTGCTGCTCTGACAGAATTTCAAGTTGATGTCATTTTTATGATGCAATGCGCACTGTACACGGATTATCAGACGAATCCGGAACCTGTGGTGGACAAAGTCCCCACTTGACCCTGTACAAATTAGTGCAAAGAAAAATGTGTGATGTGTTGACACCCCGTACAAATGTTGTAAATCACTGGTGCAAGGAGCATTGCGTCATAAATAATGACGTCAACTTGAAATTCTGCTGGGACAGCGCGCATGCGGGAGTTGCACACTCTTGGGGGGGGGGGGGGGTATGTATATTATGTACTGTTGGTCTTATGCATATACACTCATCTCTCGTTTATCCGGGCGATCCGGAACCGGGCACTGCCCGTAACTCCGAATCACATACATGTTGATGGGGAAAGGCCATAGATATGGCATAATGACATCACTATTTCCACAAAAAGTGATGAGTAGTAATATTTCAACTGAAACTCGCCCAAAGGGTGCTCGTTAGCCTGAAGTGCCCGTAACTTCGGGGTCCGGATAACCGAGGTATGAGTGTATGCCATTGTGCGGTGATTCACAGCTACTTACATCATTCTGTACCCAGTCTTTCCAGGCACTGGATGTGCGATACTCCAGGAACTCGGTCTGAAAGTTAGAGCTGCGTGTCGGGTCGGGTAGGTTAGGCAGCGCTGTGCGTATCTGGAGTGTGTCTCCATGCTGCTGCATTACCACGTGGAGAATGGGCAGCAGGAAATAGTTGAACTTCTCACGGCCTGCAACGGGGATTGGCCCACATGTACACAGGCACAAACACACATACATCCAAGCAAACACACAAAATATTCTTGATTGACGGTATCTCTAGAAAGTGTCAGACATTCATGTACAGTCTGGACTTGTTCATCCCCCACGCTACTCCAAATTACCACCATGGCTGGATCAAGGTGCTGGTGCATTCTCTCGGTACTTTACCGTACACCGCACACACGCATGTGCACGCACACACCATAATTATACCATGGACCATGTGTACGCCCCGTCGCAAGAGAAGCATGCAAATCTGCAAATGCACTGGACGCACACACACACACACACACACACACACACACACACACACACACACACACGCACACAGAAACACACACACACACACACAAGGTGAGAGAGGGGAAAAACATGCACTCACCATCTGACACACTCGTCGTCATTGCTTCGTCCAGCTTATTCAAAACATGGCCCACAACATCCGGTGGGAAGACGTTGTTACGCAGGACAGGCTGCAGGCGAGAAACTGCCGCAGCACAAAGCTGCAGAAAAAAGTTGAAAAACAAATGCACAGTCACGCGGTTAAGAAGGACATTTGCATGGATATGCATGCACACGCACACACATGCCTGCCCGCCCGCATGCACACACATGCATACACACACGCACATGCATGCACACACACACGCACACGCACAGACACGAACGCACCCCCCCCCCCCCACACACACACGCACACATAAGCGCACCCACAAAAATCTTTCTATCACTGCTTCCAACACTATCCACTGGCAAAGCAGTCACTGGGTGGGAAATAGAAACTAAAAAGGAAAGGCAAATAAATAAATAACAGTCATATGCACCCTTCCCTGCCAAGAAAACAAACCATACAGTGGATAATTTACGATTCCTGGCTGAACATGGAAGAAAGACTACGGAAAGAAAAAAAGATAAAAAAATGGGTCTGTCCGGGATTTGAACCCGGGACCTCTCGCACCCTAAGCGAGAATCATACCCCTAGACCAACAGACCAACCACGATAAGCAGACAGGATATCAGTGACAATATTAATAGCCAAAGGAATTTCTGGAAAAGTGAGTTGCGCAATAAGTACCAGCAAGAGTACATAACCCCCCAGAGTGTGCAACTCCCACATACCCTGCTGTCCCGACAGAATTTCAAGTTGACGTCATTATTTATGACGCAATGCTCCTTGCACCAGTGATTTACAACATGTGTACGGGTGTCAACGCATCACACGTTTTTCTTTGCAATAATTTGTACAGGATCGATCGGCTTCGGTCAACCACAGGTTCCGGATTCGTCTGATAATCCGTGTACAGTGCGCATTGCATCATCAAAATGACGTCAACTTGAAATTCTGTCGGGACAGCACCCATAGTGGAGTTGCACACTCTGGGGGGTTATGTACTCTTGGTACCAGTACAGTGCGCACATACAGCTCGTAGCATGTACAGTGTTGCTCAATGAAATCCAGTCGCGTCACTCAAGTTTGTGCCTTGCATCATTTCGCAGCCCAGTGTTCGCATGTCTAGGGCTGCGCAACGCCCGGCGCGTACTTGAGTTGAGAGATGCGACTGGACGGATTTCATTGAGCAGGACCGTACATCTACATGAAAATGACGTTCTTCACTACACACAGGTCAGGTCTAAAGGTCAGTCCGTGGCCCAAAGTCAGTACACTACGGCTGTCATAGCGCACATGGAAGTATTGCTACTCGTCACACTATGAGGTGTACACCAGACGGTGACTACTAGCAAGAGTCCATAACCGCAAGAGTGTGCAACTGGGGTCTGGCTGCTGTAGGCCCGCTGCGCGGCAGAATTCCAACATTACGTCATGCCGCTGAGGCACAGAGGACAAAACTCCGCATTCCGCGGTGCTTGGAACCAGGGAGTAGTACAAGCGCAACGAACGTGTACGTCATTTTGACGTAATGTTGGAATTCCGCCGCGCGGATCCCCACGTACAGAGTTGCACACTCTTGGGGTTATGCACTCTTGCTAGTACTAGCACATGTACTGCAAGCATAGTATACGTACGTCTTGCTGCACCTGTACTGCGTAGGCCAGTAGCAGTCGGAGTACAATGCGGCGTATTTGTATAGCGCTGCCTGTCGCTCCGGATTCCCACACACAGAACACGTCCGCCAGGCGATGGGAGTTGTCCAGAATCTGAATACACACATACATGCACATACATGCACACACGCATGCACACATGCACGCATGCACGCATGCACACAGACAGACAGACAGACAGACAGACAGACAGACAGACAGACAGACAGACAGACAGACAGACAGACAGACAGACAGACAGACAGACAGACACACAGACACACAGACACACAGACAGACATACAGACACATCAAGACACATACATGCCCAAAGACACACACACACACACACACACACACACACACACACACACACACACACACACACACACACACACACACACACACACATACATACACACCAACGCAACAACAATACAAACATCAGACAATACAGCTCACAATACCGAAATACATAGCACCATTGAGCAGTTCTTTCCACCCATTGGCATCTACAAACTGAACTTACATCAACTGTCAACAGCTGCTCAGTCTCGAACTCTTGCGGCATGATGGGAGCAGACTCAGTGCGCGCGTCAAACAGCAGCGTCTCCAGTAACTCTAGCAACTGACGAGCACTCTCCATGCGCACCGCATTGCTCAGGCCTGGAGGGTGACAGTGGGTATGAATAACAACGATGACAGCAACGATGACGACGACGACGACAACAACAACAACAACAACTTAACAATTGCACCGGTGTCGGAACCAGCAGCGACGGCAGCAGCCACGGCAGCAGCAGAAACAGCAGCGGCAGCAGAGGTGAGTAGATCAGACCAACCACTGAAGTTCTCAAAGACCGAAAAGTCCATTCGCTGCATCCATGTGATTTATTAAAAATCAAATTCAGTAAATGATTCAGTAAAACAAAACAAAACTCCCCCTACAGAGCACTGAGGGAATTGGTCTCATTGTTCCATGCAATGCTGTGTGTTTCAATGGAATGTTCGCCCCGACCAGGGGTCCTCAGCCCAAGCTACATGTGATCAACAATGACAAAGCTCATGAAGAGTAATAATATCCAAGAGTCCATAATCCCCCCAGAGTGAGCAACTTCACTTATCAGATCTGGGACGGCGAAATCCACGTTGCACGGCATAGTGTGACATCATGAGTAGGGGAAGTGCGGCCGTGGTGGACCGCGTCGACGGAATGACACAAGTCCGACCCAAAAAATGACGTGCATCACGGATTACGCAGTCCCACAACCCCATCCCAGATGCGCACTCTGGGGGAGTATGGACTCTTGGTTATAACATCTATGTAGTGGTGAAGTTCTCTCCTACCACTCTTGTTGACTTCCTGCACCATGCACTGTAGAGCTAGCTGAAGTAGCCTACAACAGAGAGAAGATCAAGAGAATACATGTATACACACACATATACACACACGTACACACACACGTACACACACACACACACATACACACACGTACACACACACACGTACACACACACATACACACACGTACACACACGCATACACATGTACACAAACACACATATGTACACACACACGTAAACACACACACACACACACACACACACACACACACACACAAGAGAATCCAGACACAGAGATGCTCACACAAAACTACATACCACACGTAGAGAGTGGAGTACAACGTAATAGCAGATTAGTAGCAACTCGCTTTTATAAATGTTTGTGTGAGCGGCTGAATGCGTGTGTGCGTGTGTGCGTGTGTGTGTGCGCGTGTGTGTGTGTGTGTGTGTGTGTGTGTGTGTGTGTGTGTGTGTGTGTGTGTGTGTGCGTGTGTGCGAGTGCGTGTGTGTATATCCATGTGTACACAGTGGACATGTGAACCCCAACATAGACAAGCAGAGGCAGCCAGATAAACCCAACAGTCCAAAGAGAGAACGGATGGAAGCACACATACACACGTGGACACACACACACACACGGCGTATAGATATACCTACCGTCGTTTCAGCAAGACATGGCTAGCCAGCATGTTCTTCTCCGTACAGAGATTTTCCAGTGCTGCAAACAACTGTCCACGTTCCTATCATGTTGCAACCAGCCGTAAAACACAATAACACAATCAGGAACTTAACCATATTATTCAGACTGTATTTGAAGGATTCTCCAAAAGCAAATAGATAGTTTAATAGAGAGGTTCCGCACTACGTAAAGTTGAGCAACTTTACGTTAGTGGGCGGGAAAAACCCGTGAATTCGCGAGTTTACACTCCACTTACGGAAAGTTGTCTACGGAGAGTACGTAGATAGGGCTCTGATAACGTAGCTGGTCCGTAAGTGGATTGGGGTACAAATTTATGACTCTCTCCCCAGGTCGATCTGGTCGTACACTGCCGCGTTCGGAGTTGCCAAGGGCAGCTACGTGATTTGAAAACTCTGTATGGCGGAACCCAGATGCAGTTTTTTACTAACGTAATTACGTTATGCGGAACCTCTCTAATACCGTATATCCGCACCTTTAAAGCCGTGGAGGTATATTCGATTATAAAGCCAGTCTCAGTTACAAAGCCATGTGCTTCATAAATATAATGACATTTGAAGTATTGTGAAAAGAAGAAGGACAAAATGTTACGAGTTATGACTCACCATCCGAGTTACATTTGAAGTATGTTTTGCAAAAACGAAGGAGTGAGTACTATACTAACAAACTTACAGCCAAGCAAGAAGGGTGAATAAGTGGATCCAGACTGGAATTTCTGTGTGGACTTGATGATTTTTATGGCATGGCGTAGTGGGTGAGTCATGTTTTATATTATAATAGCTAGAAAAGCAGCGGTGTTTCCAATATAAGACCATGGCTTTAAAGGCGCTGACATACGGTATCAGGGGAGTTTCCTGGAAGGGTGGATGGAATGAAAGGTATTACAGGACATATAACTGTTGAAGCAATTGCAACCCCCCCCCCCCCACCCCCCAGCTGCCGAATTATTCGTTAAAAAAAAACAGGTGAAAGAATAAGGTCGCTACTCCTAACGTTGGAGCTTGCGCTCACTGCCGACTTACTGACACCTCAGGTCGCATCGCCGGCAGAAATCTTGAAAAAAAGGCAAAAAATCCTTCGAGCCGGATTTGAACCAGCGACCTAAAGATGACTGCACATCCCAGCGATGCGCACACTACAGTCTTCCGCTCTACCAACTGAGCTATCGAAGGGGACAAGATATGCAGAGACCAGCCGTCTAAATATTCCCGTATAGCGGTACCGTAAATTACATTTTGATACCCCCCCCCCCCCCTGCCGCATCACTCCCCAGCTGGATTTACACAAGGGGATTTACATGCAGATATAAAAACGTGCTACAGTTCCCGATCTTGGTCTTTCTCTCGTTACACCCCCCCCCCCCCTCTCTCTCTCTCTCTCTCTCTCTCTCTCTCTCTCTCTCTCCATCAGCCAGTGGTGCCAAAGTGAGCCCCCTGTTGCACTTCCAAATCGAACACCTGGAACTGACATCAATCGACAGCAAAAGTATCACTGAATCCGACCTGCCTACTTTCCCTGGCGAAACTCTTGCACTCCTTTTGCAGTGCGCCTTGGAAGTTCGACAAATTTCTTCTTCTTCGTCAGCCATTACGTGGTTTCCAGCCGTTTTATTAGGACATCCAATGCGTCTTCAGTGAAAAACGCGGAGTTTTGTCAACGTTTGGCGTGGTTTTCCGTGGCGATCGACCTAAAATCGCGAAATAAATCGCCGTAAATTTGAGCAGAGGTGAGTTGGCTTGGAGCACGTACAGATTCAAATAATATGCGTACATGCGCACCGGGAAGAAGATGAAGATGATCGCCATTTTCAAATAACTAATTCAAAAAACTACATGACTATTGTATACTGCAATTGTTGTAGTAACTTGTTTGCAACTACAATGGTATCAATACTGAATCTCAACGTTGCAACTAGATAGTAGTACAACTGTAACTGTACTACTACCTGGTTGCAACAAGCTCAAAGCAGCCTTGCCTTTATTTCAACTGTTTGCTGTCAGCATCCAGAGCCATGGCGTTTGCTAGTTGGTCGTAGTGGAGAAGAGAACTGCAGGGCACTCACTCGATGTACAACATCCATCGCCGCAGATTCCTTACTTTTAGCTCTCCACGTTCCTTATTTTTCCAGGGATCAGGACCTTCCATTCCATTCAGGGTGGAAGCGTAGATCACTTTTGCAAAACAGTAAAAACTACGCTTCAAACCTGCTTGACATGACTCGGGGTGCATACTTCGGAAACCCGAAGGTGGATGATGTTCAATACTAGCTCATTGTAATCTTCCTGAAGGTATCTATTCGGATGCTCAATTAAATAGAACAGTGAAAGAGATGTGTAATGGAACAACACTCTACAAGCAGGCGAACAACAATTTTATTGTAATTTGAATCCAGGCACACATATAATACGGAAACTGCAATGGTTTACACTGAAAATCTTCTCGATTTGCAAGATTTTCCCGTAATTCACAAAAATCTGAAAGTTCATTCCTGAAACGCGCATGGCACTGATTGGAGATTGGGTTAAGGGCACAACAATGGCTGTCTTTGAAATGCCAAAAAAGGTCACTTTGTCGGCTTCCCCCTGCAGAGCGTGCAAGTCGTTTACTCTTTTTATTTGCGGATTCGCTGTGCAGGGTACCTAAACTCCCCATTGGGGCCAAAATCAAGTATTCGATTTCTAAGTGCAACAGGGTGCTTGAATTTGACGACTTCTGAGTTCTTGGCTGATGAACTATGACACCTCAGGTCGCATCGCCGGCAGAAATCTTGAAAAAAAGGCAAAAAATCCTTCGAGCCGGATTTGAACCAGCGACCTAAAGATGACTGCACATCCCAGCGATGCGCACACTACAGTCTTCCGCTCTACCAACTGAGCTATCGAAGGGGACAAGATATGCAGAGACCAGCCGTCTAAATATTCCCGTATAGCGGTACCGTAAATTACATTTTGATACCCCCCCCCCCCCCCTGCCGCATCACTCCCCAGCTGGATTTACACAAGGGGATTTACATGCAGATATAAAAACGTGCTACAGTTCCCGATCTTGGTCTTTCTCTCGTTACACCCCCCCCCCCCCCTCTCTCTCTCTCTCTCTCTCTCTCTCTCTCTCTCTCTCTCTCTCTCTCTCTCTCTCTCTCTCTCTCTCTCTCTCTCTCGCTTACCAGCCAGGAGTTCTCCTGAAACTGCGGTAGTCCGTATTCGGAAAGCATATGCAGAAGACGCACAACGGTTTCCACCAGACTGCTTGTGGTCGCTTGCACGTCGCTGTCCCCGTCACGGGACTTGGACGACGTGGCAGCTGCACCTGTTATCTGTGCAATACAATGGAGAGACGGATGGCCGCAGCACATATGGATGAGTTGGGACATGCCAAGAGAGATGTACGGACATATTTAGATGATTAAATTACTGGGTGGAATACAGGCAGAATACGAGGAGCTCAGACAGGCCAGCTCAGCCTAATGATATGCCTGGAGGACATACTAAAAAAAACATGACAAAAGGCAACTTGAAAACAAAAGGAAAAAACTTGAAAAAAAGGAACGCTGAATTTCTGATCCTATCGGGGAAGTAGACCACTGCGTGGATCAGGATTTTTGATGGAGCGCTGCGTAATGCAACTGCACACAATGGGGAGGGGGGGGGGGGAGAGAGAGGAGTAAGCCAAAAGTGTGCAGCTCGGATGGATTGCTGTCATGGCGAATTTCCGGGATTACATCATATCAGTGACGTAGTGCATAGCATACTACAAAGGAAAAGACAGAGTGGTTCCAGGCTGTCCAATAGACTGCTCAATACCGACAGGCAGAGCTAGTTCAAACAATATTAAAATTAATAAGAGGACGAAAAAAGTGTTTTTACTCCGAGTTTCACGCACTAAGCGATGATCAGAAAACAGAACAAGAAGGATTCAAACCGAACTCTCGCCGCACAACTGCAGATCAGTTGCGCGCACTACGCCACTTCCCGTCACATCTCTGCGCTGACTATGCTGTTATCCAGGAATTTTACTCAACTGTCACAAATATCTACTTGAAGTATTCAGAAAATCACAAGCTGCTCTGGGTTTCATGAACTTTCGCTACCAGGTAAATGAGACAAATGACCAAACTGGCAAGGATCAAGGAGCCGACTATTCCTGCGGAAAAAACTGGGCAAGGAAACCTGAGGGAAAAAATTAGAAAAAAAATCCTTCGAGCCGGATTCGAACCAGCGACCTAAAGATGACTACACATCCCAGTGATGCGCACACTACAGTCTTCCGCTCTACCAACTGAGCTATCGAAGGGGATGGAGATTACTACCACTCTACCAAATGAGCTATCGAAGGGAAATGGAGACAAACCAGTTCATCTCACACCACTACAGCGCTGTGTCTCCAACCTAGACTAATTCCTTGGTTGACTAAGGGGCCGTTTACAGGAGATCAATAATCCAGGGCTCATTCAACCCTGGTTTCTGGTGCCCCGTTCGCAACTCACGTCCTTGGTGCAGAGTCGCCAGTGTTGCCGGGGCAACGGCTGCGGCACCTGCGTCACATGTGACTGCACCAAGGCGGCACGGAAATGCTGGAGCTGCCTTCCGTCAAAGAAAGATCGTTGTAACAATTCCGCCATCCCTTCTCCACCCCAGCCGGAGCTGTCAACGGCCACCGACAACCATACGGCTACGGTGCAGGACGATGCTACGGGAACAGTTCGAACCGTACAATGCGATGATGCCAGCGTGGATGCTGATACCCCCGTTGCCGAATCGCAGGCATTAGCGTGGAAGTTCATCCCCGCCATTACTGGACGGCATGTTGGTACAGAGGAGCGGGAGATACTGGGTCTACCCTGTAGGCATGGTGGCCTGGGCTTGGTCGATCCGACCACCCTCGCATCCCAGTACACATCATTTTGCCGCATCAGTGTGCCCTTGCAACGCAACATCAAGGAGCAGCTATTCGAGCTTGGCAACGCCGCTCAGGAGATCCGTGCTGCCAATAAGGAGATACAAGCAGCTGCCCGTAACGCTATCAAAGCCCATGCTGGTGTTCTGCAGTCATGCTAAAAAGCAAAGAATCATCGATCTGGCTTCTGAGAAGGGCGCCGCCAGCTGGCTCACTTGCAGACCCTTGAAGCGTCATGGGTTTGCACTATCTAACGGAGAGTTCCGTGACGGAATTCACCTCAGGTACAACTGGCCACTCCAGCGCACACACTCTACCTGCACCTGCGGAAGCCAGTTTTCCATCAGCCATGCCCTCTCCTGCCCTTCTGGTGGGTATCCAACCATCAGGTACAATGAGGTGCGCGATGTGACTGCTGGTCTCCTTCGCCGGGTCGCCACGCCACGTATCTGTGGAGCCCCACCTGGAACCCCTCACCGGAGAGCAGCTACGCCTTCTCTCGGCAATCCGAGATGATCAAGCTCGGCTGGATGTTGCTGCAAATGGAGTATGGGGAGGGCGGTTTGAGCGCACCTTTGTAGATGTCAGGGTGTTCAACCCTTTTGCGCCTTCAAACCAGTCCTCCTCGCTCTCTGCTACGTACATCCGGCATGAGAAGGCGAGTTTCTGTACATTTACGAATATTCCTATTCTACTTTAACGAAGAATATTCTTTTTCCGCCTTGCATATTTCGAATATTCGAATAATTCGAATATTCCTTTTAGCCCTACAAGTACATTTTACGTTTTTCATTCACTATCATGCATTTTGTCTACAGACGTAAAAAAAAGTTTTCAGGTATTCAACCCTAGGCGTACGGTAAGAGCGCATCGATCTGTCACCCCGTCATTTTAGAGCGCGCGTTTACATGGTGCGGCGGGCTTGGTCAGCTTGTCCTGAGCTCAACTAGCCTTACCTCCAGACCCCCCAGCTTATCGTACCTCCAGGGGTTATTTTCTCATGTAAGGGACCGTTCGGGGCTACCGATTGCTTTTACAAAACAATTTTTCAGCCCCACCCATCCACCCACCTTTCCTGCAGATAAAACGAGTTCGAATAAAATAATGATGGTAATTTTGAATTTTCGGCACCCGAAGGAACTGGGCATTCCCAATCTGCATTCAATAATTATTTTCAAAACGAAAATCCTAAAATAAACCCAACCTCAAAAGAAAACTTTTCGTTTTGAAAATGCTATTGGCAACCTTGGATGGCCCCTAAACGGTCAAGCCATTCAGCATAAGCGAAGTTGTGGGCTACACTTCAACGCGGGAATGGCTATAATAAACGGTAAAGAAAATAAGTCCTAAACTTGTTAGCGTGTTTTTCGTATGTTTTGGTTTTGCTTCTTTGAACCTGACACACATAGACACACATGCGTACACACACACACACACACACACACATTCACACATATGCGAGCATTCGCGTATGCACATATACACAAGTACACATATGCAGGCACAGGCACATGCGTATCCCCCCCCCCCCCCTCCACACACACCACACTCGCATATCTCCCCGCCCCCCCCCCCCCCCCCCTCCACACACACCACACTCGCATATCTCCCCCCCCCCCCCCCCCTCCACACACACCACACTCGCATATCTCCCCCCCCCCCCCTCCACACACACCACACTCGCATATCTCCCCCCCCCCCCTCCTCCACACACACCACACTCGCATATCCCCCCCCCCCCCCCCTCCACACACACCACACTCGCATATCTCCCCCCCCCCCCCCCCTCCACACACACCACACTCGCATATCTCCCCCCCCCCCCTCCACACACACCACACTCGCATATCTCCCCCCCCCCCCCCACACACACCACACTCGCATATCCCCCCCCCCCCCTCCACACACACCACACTCGCATATCTCCCCCCCCCCCCTCCACACACACCACACTCGCATATCCCCCCCCCCCCCCCCCTCCACACACACCACACTCGCAGATCTCCCCCCCCCCCCTCCACACACACCACACTCGCATATCTCCCCCCCCCCCCCCTCCACACACACCACACTCGCATATCCCCCCCCCCCCTCCACACACACCACACTCGCATATCTCCCCCCCCCCCCCCTCCACACACACCACACTCGCATATCCCCCCCCCCCCCCTCCACACACACCACACTCGCAGATCTCCCCCCCCCCCCCCTCCACACACACCACACTCACATATCCCCCCCTCCACACACACCATACTCGCAGATCTCCCCCCCCCCCCCTCCACACACACCACACTCGCATATCTCCCCCCCCCCCTCCACACACACCACACTCGCATATCTCCCCCCCCCCCCCCTCCACACACACCACACTCGCATATCTCCCCCCCCCCCTCCGCACACGCACGCACGCACACACATACACACAGATGGCTACAGCACCCTCACCAACACACACACACACACACACACACACACACACACACACACACACACACACACACACACACACACACACACACACACACACACACACACACACACACACACACACACACACACACACACACACACACACACACACACACACACACACACACACACACACACACACACACACACACACACACACACACACACACACACACACACACACACACACACACACACACACACACACACACACACACACACACACACACACACACACACACACACACACACACACACACACACACACACACACACACACACACACACACACACACACACACACACACACACACACACACACACACACACACACACACACACACACACACACACACACACACACACACACACACACACACACACACACACACACACACACACACACACACACACACACACACACACACACACACACACACACACACACACACACACACACACACACACACACACACACACACACACACACACACACACACACACACACACCTCAGACCTCAGACATGCCCATCGCGGAAGCGATGATTGCGAACAGCTATGTTAGGCATAGCAACTTGTGCTGGGATTACACCATTCAACAGCTTGCAAGGCTGAGGAATTGACACACACACACACACACGCACGCACGCACGCACACGCACGCACACACGCACGCACACACGCACGCGCACACACACACACACACACACACACACACACACACACACGCAGATGGCTACAGTACCCTCATCAACAGCAAGCAGTACCCAATACATCAGTAGTATTCACTGCATGTACTAACCTCACTGAGATCTGTCGGCACAGGTACTGCTCCACCGGCAATATCAGGTTGCAAGTCACTGTTAGCCTTCCCAACACCAGTAGTGGCGTCTTCACCACCACCACCACCACCAAGCTTGCTTTCCTCCTCCTCCTGTTCCGCATCGTCATCATCTTCGGTATCTTCAGAGTGGCGCGGAGGTTTCTTCTTCTTCGTCGCAGCCCTGGGTGTGTAGAGCAGAGCGAACAGTGGGCGGAACCAGCACGGCTGCTTCGTGATCTCCGACGCACTGTCCGGTGACTTGGAAAGCACCTGGTAAACCTGAGGGAATAGACAAAAAACCAGAGCGGAATTTAAACGAATTTAACAGCATTCGAGAAACAGCTCCAGCGGTATTATTTGAAACTGTCCACCTCTCCACACTGCGCTCTCGGCTCACATCCACCATACCATACTCTATAGCGAGGAAGTTCATGGAGAGGTGGACAGTTCAATTATTCAAAAAATAATTCAAATTGCCCAGTTCGTCGCTACTTCTGAGCTCCAGTGGTGGCAAATGAAATGCGACCCCTGGATTATTTAAAAACGTACGCATGCTGCAGAGCTATTAAAATCGAATCGCAGAGAGAAGAAGAGTACAGGCTGGCATGACAGCAAAGCGTGAAGATCACGGATCATGTCATATGACTCATGTCATGTCACATGACTCATGTCATGTCACATGACTCAGTTGACCGGTTTTTAGTGCACCTAGCCCATACAGGCCAACCCTCCCGGTTTTCCTGGGATGTTCCTGAAAATTCCATGGATTCGCCTCGAATGTCCCCTGGGTTTTTTTCAAAAATATGTACGGTGCAGTGCGCACTCGCACTTCGAACTGCGCACCAGGTGCACGGCACTTCTAAGACCTGACCAGCCTAGCCTGCAAGATCTGCACTGACAGGCGGGTGCCGACTGATCGAACTGCACTCCAGGGTCGAACTCTGCTGTACGTAGATCTGCAGAGTCTATGCCGCCGAACGTTTTTTTGGTGGGAAAGGCTCTTTTTCACTTGTTTTGCGCCATCCAGGGATTTTGAGAGAAATCGAGGGATTCTGCATGTCTTCTCAAGGTATTGAGATTTAGGTGGTTGGTCAGTATGCTAATCATAGCAGGTTGACCAAAGCGTGACCTATGCCCATAGGCAGATTGAGGTGATTGCTACCTGGCGAGCGTGCGTGCGCGCGTGTGTGTGTGTATGTGTGTGTGCGCATGCGTGCGAGTCGCGTGTATGCATGCATGTTGAGTACTCACATGCTTAGCTATGCTGAGGCGTGACTCCAGCGGTGAGAGAGCGACAAGACTCATGACGGACAGAAGAACATCGCCATACTGGATAACTGCAAAGAATAAGAACAGAAACAAATGCACCGACACAACCAACACCACCACCAGCAGCATCAACACCACCACCAGCAGCATCAACAACAGCAGCAGCAGCGGCAGCCCCAGCAGCATCAACAGCATCCGAAGCAGCAGCAGCAGGTCAGAAGATGGTGGGTGCCCAAGATGACCCATAGCCAACTTTGCACTAATTCAAACTGGGCTTGTACAAGGTCAAAGTGCTTAGTATCACCCACTGGCTGCGTTCGACTACACACTTGAATCGATTCATGAATGGAATCTCGCCGTTCGATTTCAAGTCATGAGCCTTGGAATCGATTCGGAATCCGCTCGCCCTATTCACATGGGTGATGTGGATAGCCTGAACACGGCTACTAGGAAGCGCAGCACACAATTCCTCAATCACTGCCGAAGTCACTACTACTTCTTCATGTGTTCTTAGAATACACCTTGACAATGTCCACGAAGAAATTTACGGACATCACGCAACTTCATTATAGAAAGAAAAGAGGTTTGTCAACTGACAACCGCCTCCATTCACTTGATATTCACGATCGTGAAATGGCGCTGTACAGAGTAATTGTCAGTTGACGAACCCTCTTTTCTTTCTTGCCAATGTCATTCTAGTATAAATTTCCCCGGGCATAACAACACGTACCTTCATCACCGTTGAGACTCAGACCCAGGAATGCGTAGAGTACGTCAATGGAGAAAGCTTCCGACACGAGCTGTGAGTCGAGGACTGCGACAAAGCTGGCCTCCTGCAGAAGCAGCTGTGCTTTGTGAGATGCTGAAACCGTGGGCTCGCGGAGTAGCAGAGATAACACCTACAGCACGTGCACAGAGAAAAATGTACACGTGAATAGACAAGGGCTGTACAATCATGTACATGTGTTCTCTGCTGCCTTTGAGGTATTGCTCCTTCCATGAGGTGTTGAGCACTCTAGGCAATCAGGGAATTCTTGCTATTATGTCCAGGCTATAGACAGTAGAGTGGTGTATGTGTAGACATGTACGCACACATGCACCGTGTGCCATGCACCAATGCATGCAGAGAGCACATGCACAAATGAGCTCACACACATGCGCGCATGTGCACAAACACATGCACACACACACACACACACACACACACACACACACACACACACACACACACACACACACACACGTGTGCAAGAATGCGCTCATCACTCCACAGTTTTCAGACATACACACTCTTGTCCGCACCTTGCACGTTGAAATGAGCAATTCTTCTTCATCTCTCTGCAGTAATGTCAGTAACAGCTGCCCCGCACCGGGCTTTGCAAACTGATTAGCCAAGTGTTCTTGGCTTTCCTTGTTCGGTGCCTTGGTCAACAACGCGTGCAGCATGTCCAGAACTTCTAGGATCTAGCAAGATCAAAAACACACAGCAACAATTCAACAACACAGCAACACAGCCACACAACAACACAGCCACACAACAACACAGCGACACAACAACACAACTTAGCTGGCCGGTTCCCCTTTTAGGAGAGTGCACGGCAGCATATGTGTAGGATGGCTGGTGCATGTCATTCATGGTCATTATGTGCATGCTGAACATAGGTCGACTTTTTTAGGGGGTGCACGTATCCAGTATCCTGTAAAAACAGACCCTGGCAAGATACACACCATCCTTACACATACCTGCTCAGAGAGGCTGCACGCCGAGATGTAGCAGATAATAGCACGCACTTCGTCGGACCGAATACGCCGTTGTACGTAGAACCTCACAATGCCTAGACACGGTCACACAAACAACAACATAGCAAAGTTCAAAACGCCGCGAGCTCTCCGCAGCCACAGCAATTCAAGGCACAGTCACAAAAACTAAGACACCAATTCAAACAAACTGACGCATAAGCGTGCATGTGAACACACACACACACACACACGCACACACACGCACACACACACCTACCAAGCAGAGAGGAGCGTATAGCCTTAGACTCCTCGGGAGTAGGCTGACATGCCCGCAACATGGGAGAGCCACTAGCACTTGCTGACGCTGGTGCCATGGCTGTAGAGGCAGGACTACACAAACACACAACACAATGTGAAGAAGATGAGTATGAGTGGACTACACACACACATCCACAACGCACAATGTGGAGAAGATGAGTATGAGCTGGGCTAAACACAACACACAACACAATGGGGGAAAAAGGCATGAGAAGGACTACACAACACACACAACGCACAATGTGGAGAAGATGAGTATGAGCTGGGCTAAACACAACACACAACACAATATGGAGAAAAGGCATGAGAAGGACTACTCAAACACACAACACACGACACAGTGTGGAGAAGATGCACGAGTTGGAAAGTTGTAATAGAGAGGTTTTAGATGCATGTTATTTCTGATGTGACGCGAAAGTTCAGCTCGCGTTATTTGGCTCGCGTGTCAGAAAAACCACGCGAGTGATCTGCAGCTCACGTCGAAATTAGGAGTTTTACGCCAAATTTGACGTGAAATTGCGCATCACGTCGGAAATAGCATTTATCTTAACCTCTCTATTTCACAGTGCTCTGGAAATATGGTAAATGTGCACAGCGGTTGCCAGGGAGACACACTCTCTACCCCTCCCCCCCCCCCCCTCCCCCTCTCCCTTACCTGAAGTAGACACGCGCCGTATCGAGCATGAACTGCACTCCATAGTCATTGCGACACACTTCACAGTTGTCCTTGATCACAGTCGTCAAGTACTGGATGTGACCTGAGAACACAGAGAGTACACAATGAAATGCAGAACGTCAGACACATACAGTGTGAAACCTATCAAGGCTACCACTCTGATAAGGCGACCACCTCAGGCAGGGGCGTCGGTACGGTCACTACGGTATTGACCGTACCACTATTTGCCCCCAGGTACCCCGTGAATCAATAAAATGCAACCCATCTGCCACGAGTAAATTGTACTTCAGATGGCTGACCGTACCACACTAAATTACCTTCCGACGCCCCCTGACCTGTCCCGTATACGGAGACCACAATCATTTTGAAGGTCCCATGAGCGATCGGCTTAGATAGACTTCACTGTATGACCGGTGGGTGTTATTTCCAGTCAAATGCCCCGGGATAAGAAGACCACCTGTACACGAAGACCACCTGTACATGGCAAAGGTGAACCCCCTAAAAATTTCAACCTAGGTTCAGCACGCATATAATGACCATGAATGACATGCACCAGCCATCCTACACATATGCGGCCGTGCCCTGCTCAAGGATCAAGGCTCCGTATCCGACAGCACAACTCACCAATTCTGACGTGGTTCTGTGAGTTCATCCATAGTCTGAAGTCAAAGAGCAGATGCTGATAGAGCTGTGAGAGGAGACTACTGTGTTTGTGTACACTCTCCACTAGACTCTGTACAGCCATCAGCACACTCACGTCCATATCTTCTGGCTTGGCCTGTAGCATCATACACACATACAAAGACACATGCACGCACACATGCACGCACACATGCACGTACACATACGCACACATACGCACATGCACACATGCATGCACACACAAACACACACGCACACGCACACCCACACACACACACACCTTAGACCTTAGACATGCCCATCGCGGGAGCGATGATAGCGAACAGCTATGTTAGACATAGCAACTTGTGCTGGGATTACACCATTCAACAGCTTGCAAGGCTGATGAATTGACCGCCACTATTTTTAGCCTGGTATCCACCACACAGCTGTTGAAGTGACTTTTTCTGGCCAGTGAATCCCTATTTTTCATTTTTCCATTTTTTCTTTTTCTACACACACACCACACCACATACTCCGGCATACACTGGCTGTTGGTAACCACCCAGGAGAATGAAAGAAAAGTCAGGAAGAGTCTGAGAAAGAGAAGAAAGACGTGTGTGACCATAATCGTCGGGAATCGAACCCGCAACCTATCGATTGGAAATCGCTGCACATACCACTGCACCATATGGGACACACACACACACACACACACACACACACACACACACACACACGCGCGCGCGCGCACACGCGCACACACACACGCGCGCACACACACACACACACACACACACACACACACACAAACGCATATGGCTATAAGGACACACATGCACAGTGCTCCACTATCTAAAAATGCTGTAAACACTGGCGGCGCTACTTTGAAGTAGGCAGTACAATGCATTATGCACTACAGTACCGTCGGTCGCCAAAGAACTGGGGGTCAGCCTCCTAGCCTAGACCGTTCTTATTTCCATGTATTACAGCCTATGGGCAGTTGAGTCACCGTGTATACATTGGTATGCTGTGCTTGGTGAAATTCTAGCCTGGTCGTTCTCCGGCGCTCCGTTGTTCGGCGCTACCGTGCAGTACTGTGCTGTGATTCACAACAACTTTCTTCAGGATGGACAAGATTGGCCAAAGCACAACTACTGTAAAACCAATTTAGAAGTTGCGACGTGCTCCTCGTGTGCTCCGGATGGCAGTCGTGAGTCAGTCAAGTGTCAAGTTCGGCAAGAAGCGTGTGTTCCTAGTTGGAACAATCAACTTCACTACTGTAAAACCGTACAGTTTAACGACCGAAAAGTTTAACGTTTTTTGTAATTCTGGCATGATAACGTGCAGAAAATCCGATGGATACCTGGCCACCCAGAACATACATCGATGTACGCGCATCTTTACACAGACACTTCGAACCGGGTTCGCGATAATGTTTCTTCAAATAACGAAAACAATTGGTCATTAAAACGTTAGACTTTCCGGTTTTACAGTAATTGATTGACTTGACGTAGTGAGGAGAAGCAGTAACAGTAAATAAGAGTGTAGCGCCAGGTGGGCATGCTTATTCGAACATGATAGAAAGCTGTGCATGCACAGTCCGTTCTAGATGTCTATATCAAGTCAAAATAATAATGATAGTATCGTGTAAGCATTCCAAGTTGGATGGCTGTTGGAATGCGTATCCAAGAGGTGCTAGAGCTGTTAGCCAGTTAGTTGTAGAACGTCGGTACCGTCGGTCAGTGTCGTGCAACGTTATCGCATGAGCTGATTGTTTAGTAACTGGTGGTGTTAGTGGACATTATAGCGTAGCTTGTAGTTCCTTGGGCCATTTTTCTTTTCTATAGTATTGTGTAACTCCGTTACCTTTATCATGAGAGCACCCACTGTTGGCATTCCGCCAAACTTGACCATGGCGTCTTGGTTCTGTTCGCTGTCACGTAACACCGACCGCAGGAGCCCCAGGAAGCTGGACACGGCGTTGTCACCATGAACAACTTCACTTGATTCAACTGTGGAGAGTTGGGGAAGAACAACCAACGCAGCAGCAGCAGCAGCAGCAACAACGGTGGCAACAACAACAGCGGCAGCAGCACCAGTAGCAGCAGCAGCAGCAGCAGCAGCAGCAGCAGATAGAAGAAGCAAATCAGGGACAGGGACCGCTTCATGGCACACATGTATGTGGGAACAAATACCGTTAGTTCTACTAATGCTCACACAAAGCACTGTTTAGAACTGTGTGTTGCTAGTACGCCAGTGTAGCTTAGATATCCGAGCATTACCGTGAGCAAGAGTAGATAAACAAGAGTGTGCAACTCGTGGATGGGTTGGCCCACGGCGGATTTTTTTGTTGACGTAATCTTTTCGATGACGCACGCGCTGCGAGTCTTTCGGAAAGTTTTCCCTCATGCTTTTGGTCGGGCTTTAGACTATAAGGTCGGTGCCCAGCACGTGCTCTCACACTGCTCTGCGGCAAAATGCGCGTTTCTCTGAAAAAAGGTGACGTCAACAAAAAATTCCGCCGTGGGCGGGGGTATCTGCAGATTGTGCAGGAGAGATCCGGAGTTGCACACTCTTGTTTATCTACTCTTGCCGTGAGAGTTCTCCATGCTACACCCCTGCAAATGAAGTCCATGCTACACCCTGCAAATGAACTCCATGCTACACCCCTGCAAATGAAGTCCATGCTACACCCCTGCAAATGAACTCCATGCTACACCCCTGCAAATCCATCACTGTGAATTAGGACTGCAGCGAATGCAGTGCGCGCTAAGCCCTGCAAATCAACATCAGTGAAGCAGGGAGGTCTATTCCAGGCCTTGTCTGCAATTTTTTTTGCGTAACATCACCGGCCCTGACACAGAACTGCAAACTGCATGCACACGCACGTACGCACACGTACGCACACGTACCCCCCCCCCCCCACACACACACACGTACCCCCCCCCCCCCCCCAACACACACACAAAACGTCTAACTAAGCACGTACACAGTATGTGCTGGTAGGGCGCTCGCCACAGCTTCCCCTTCCTTCTCTCCTGCTGCTGCTGCTGCTGTGACGGTGGCAGCTGATTTCCACGCGACCATGAACGGGGCTTGCGTGCCTGCAGCTCAAACAACGAGTCGGGAACGTCCTCGGATGGCGTCGACACAATCTCAAACATATCATCCACGGAGTCCTCGCAGTCCACCTGGTTGCTGCTCGAGATAAGCATCTCGGCGATCGATGCCCCCGTTGCGTGGACAGATCGGGATGCTTGCGCCTGATTGGCTGCCTCGGCCAGACCTGATGTACTGTTGCCGACGCCTGGTAAAGCTGGTAAGCTCTGAGCCGCCTGTAGGTGGCCAGCAAGGGGAAGAAAGAGAGAGACTTTGAGGGGAAGAAAGAGAGAGACTTTGGTGAGAGAAAGTGTGCGTGTGTGTGAGGGGGGGGGGGGGGTTCATGTGTTTGTGCATGTGTGTGCGTGAATGCACGTGTGTGCATGAATGCACGTGTGTGTGATTCTCCCCTACACAGTACAAAACACAATAGATGTGATTCGAATTAAAGTCAAATTGGCATATAGTGCATATCAAAACTTTCAAAAGTATATGGGGGGGGGGGGGGAGAGAGGAGAGAGGAGAGAGTGAGCAACCAAATGGCGTATAACTAACGTAAGCACGCACGCACCTGAAACATCGGGTCATCCTCAACGGCAGTGCCGCACAGGGAGGTGTTGGACATGACGGAGCTCCGCCCGCCAGGCTTTCTGTTGCTGCTCATCGTCGGCGTGGCTACTGTTGCCCTTGCCGACGCTCCACATGCACTGGTTGCCATGTCAGAGTGCAGAGCTGAACCGTACGGCAACACATCCAGCTGATTCAACTCCAGCAATACGATCAACACCTGTATGCCACCCACGCAGTCCAGCACCTTCTTGATGTCCCACGTCACGCAAACCTGGCCTGTCAGCCTGGAGAAACCCAGGGAAACACAGAAAGAAGAAAATATTCAGGTATCACACAGCACAAACCTGCCCAGTCAGCCTGGAGAAACCCAGGAACACACAATGGAGATAACAGCAGTCAAGCGTCACACAGCATAAACCTGGCCTGCCAACCTGGCCAAAACCAGTGAAACGCACATAATGGAGATAACAGCAGTCAGGTATCACACAGCATAAACTTGGCCTGCCAATTTGGCTAAACCCAGCGAAACACATAATGGAGATAATAACAGTCAGGTATCACACAGCATAAACCTGGCCTGTCAACCTGGCCAAACCCAGGAACACACAATGGAGATAACAGTCAGGAGTTAGTGCACGATTTCCACAAACGCATGTGTCCGCGTTAGGTGAGCCAGCCATTCAGAAGTTGCTCAGGACTTCAGAAGTCTCCAGGTTTACAAGGAATGTTGTGGATTTGCTGAGCCTCATTGGCTACATCAATTAGCCAGGCAGCATTGCTGGAAAGAAAATGAGGTTTGTCACTGACAACTGCTCTATTCAGTTGCTATTCACATTCGGCGCTGGATGAAAAATACTTTATTCGTGTCAGATGTCGAAAAATTAGGCATTTCGGGCCAGTCACCCATCGTCAGAACCTTGTTGTTGGAGTTTAAATTTACCTTCCATGGAGTAGCTTTGATGC